TGCTTATCGTGAATGTTTAAAACAAAATCCTAATGCATTATCTGCTTACATTGCTTTACTTGCTCTTGGTATTAAATTAAGTGATCTTTTGCATACACATCCATCAGCTGCATCAATACATCATGAAAATCAAGCTCAACAACCTACACCTGTAACAGTATCCCCATTAGTACGTCAACCATGGTTTCGTGCTTTATTACAAGCTGATGCTTGTTCAACTAGTCGAGATTTTGCTGAAGCATCAAGACTTTATCAACAAATTGATGCACAATATTTACCACAATCAACATATGTTTTATGTCAACTTGGTTATAATCAATATTTAAATGGTGATTATGGACAAGCATTACATAGTTTACAACGAGCACAACAAATTGATCCATTGTTATTAAAACATATGGATATACTTGCATTTCTTACATATACAGAATGTAAAGATAATTCATTAGAAAAGTAATTAAAAAAAAATATTTCAATTGAAATTAAAAATAAAAAATTTTGTTCTATTTAGATTAGTTAATCATTTAATGTCACTTGGTGATAATCATCCTGAAACATGGATTGCTATTGGATATTATTGTTTAAAAAAAAATCATAAACCATCACGTACAGTTTATCTTGCACAAAAGGCTTATGCATTAGATAATACAAGGATTCAAGCATTATTACTTAAAGGCCTGGCATTATTTAAATTAAAACGATATTCAGATTCACTTGTTCATTATAAAGAAGCTGTGCGTTTAACACCATATTGTTTCGAAGGATATAAAGGTGTTGTGGATGGTTATTTAGCAACGAATAGATTAAGTGATGCTAGTATGTTGATATACAAAAAAAAAACAGAACAAAAAATTGAAAATAAAATTTTTATTTAGATATGTTTATTACAAATGCTGTTCGAACAAATTTAAAAGAGAATGTTCGAGCATTTACATTATGTGGACAAGTCCTTGCAAAAGAACCATCATCATTAGATAAAGCTCGAGTTTATCTAGAAAAAGCACTTGGATTTAATGCAAAATATACTGATGCTGTGATTTCTCTTGTTGAAGTTTATGGACAATTAAAGCAACAACAAAAAAGTATAGAATTGTAAGTTGAATCTTGATAATCTACTACACACTTGCCCAAGAATATTTAATTTTAGTGCTTTTTTTTTCACTTATTTTCTAAGCATAACAATTTTTCTTTATTGGTTTTGTTTTCCACACAAGTGTAACTTAGTAAGCGCTAAATTTAAAAGTGTCAACGTTTAGTCTGTTATTGAACTAAGATCTTCTATTCTCTGCTGATGCTTACTGATTGTTTTAAAGCGCATGTCAAAATTAAATTACTTAATGCCAATAGATAGAGAATTTTGTGTTCTTTGCCTCTACGACTTTTTCAAGGCTTCCGAGGCTGACGTTTACGAGAAAAAGATTTAGAACTGACAACTGTCAGTATTGTAGAATTCATGTATACTTTCGAAGAAAATAGTAGATGTAAGTTTTAAGTCAAAGCTTTTCGGTTCGTCTCTTTCTCATTACAGATCTTAGCTAATGAAGACAATAGACGTCAGAATCTTTTTCCAGAGTTCCTCGGTGATGGAAAAAAAAGTACTAACGACGAGACCTAAACTATTCTAGAGCATTCCAAAGCATTCATTGAAATTTGAATGTTTAGAATGCGTTTGTGAATGTTCTAAATAGTTCAGCTTCTCACTTTTGCGTAGATTAAAATTTATAATCAAAATGTCAAGGCTGGACAATGGGTAATATCAATATTAGTGTTTGTAAGCTCATACAGATCTATTATAGTGCACTGAAACCTGCTGTAGATAGGATTCATATGTACAAGAGACTTATTTGTTGGTTACGTTAATGAGTAGAATAATAATAACGTTAAATTAAGAAAAACATAATACGATAAAGAAAAATAACGAGTAAATTGCAACAAGACAAACAAAAAAAAAAGAATGTCTGTAAGAATTAGAAAGCTCTTCTGCTTGAAATGCAGAAATAAATAAGACACATCGTTCCTCTAATGATCGATTATCTTGGAAAACAGCTGTAATCTACGGGAGATTTTTCACTGTATGTATTGCATATTAGTATTATTGATTATCATTTTTTTTTGTTTTCTTGACTGCCACAGTTGAATGATTAAGTCGGAGATCTTCTTTTAAACTTTGCATCGACACGAGAAAGTTTTTGAAGAAATAAAGTCAACAGTTTTGTTGAGCTTGAAATTCTTCATCTTTAGATAGAAAAGGAATTGTTTTTATGATCAAGAAACGAGAGAAAAGTAATGTAATGGGATTTATTGCAGTCTCTTCTGGGAGACCAGTTAAGACACATCAAAGTTGGTGATTTTGGCAGAGAAAATCTCACAGGAAAAAAGTTAATCAAGTTTTTGTTCTTACATTTGCCAGTTTCTTTAAAGAATATTTGACTAGTTGTTTTTAGAAAAGACACGAAACATTATCTTTTGAAGCTAAACTATTGTGCTAAACTATAGCTGGTGGAGAGTATGAGTTTTCGAATCACAGATTATTTGAAAAATATTTTCAAAACATGTCTTGAAACTAATCGAGTACGCTTAATTAACAAGGCTACTATCTGAGAGTTTTACTAAAAAAAAACTTCATTAACTCTTTCGTATGGACTTTTATCTGCGGAAACAAAATGTTTTTTTTTTGAGTACACTACGTATATAGATAACAGATCGTAGATTTTAACACTGATAAATTATTCTGTTGTTCTCTTAAGTATTATTCACAAAAGATATTCAAAAGGGAAAAGAAAAAAGAATAGCATGGCTAAATACGTAGTAAGTACACTGTGTGTTGCCAAGAAAGAGAGAGAATCAACCATACCTGGATACTATAGATATGCAGTGTTTTTGTAAATACTGAACAGTGAGTCATCAATCCAAAGTGCATTGAAACACTGATTACATTGATATCCACATTTGGTGTACCATTGAGACAATAACTCTATCAAAGTATGCTTTTTTGCAGCGACGTGTTCAAATTCTTCAGTTGACATTGGTGTCAATGCGTACTACCTACATTGAGTCTGTAGTCACTATATTGAAACTGTATATCCCTACGTAGCATAGTTTGTAGAGTATGACTGTTGTCAATTATCTAGAAGATTCACATAAAGACTAAATTATCTTCTATCTGATTGTGTTTTTGCTTCAACTAATACTTTCGAACTATTCTAGGTTTTTCGTAATTCATCATAACTTAGCTTTTGTTTTATGAATTTGTCTTGCATTTCTATCTAATATATATTCAAAATGACGAATCAAACAGATAGATACTGTAAGCTTCAGTCGAAAAATTTATCAAGTTCAAAACCATTAGGAAATTTCATGTTTTACTAGGTTTCAACTTTCAGAAAGTTCGAAACACAATAAAAACATATAGATTCTAACAATTTGGATAGAATTCTATTAGAATAGTTGGATTTATTTGAAATAGGTTTCTTCTGAATATATTTTTCATCGACGAATTTTTGTTTACTAGAAAAAAATATAATAAGGTCTTGCTCAATAATTTTTCTTTTAAAGATATTCCGTCTCTCGTCATTTCGTGACCGATGGTAAAAATTCGGGAAGAAATCAAATTAAAGAAAACTGCACGCTGTTTTGCATTTCTCTCAAGCCAACTTTTTCATGAAAAAATGTGCAAAAACACCCCTGTTTCTCTGACTTAATATGTCTGATCATGCAGAATCTTTCTCCACAGATACTATACACTGTTTGAGATAAATACATTTTCTCCTTTCAAAAAATATTTTTCTGCTGATTTTTTGGTAGCTCTTATAGAAAAAACATGCGTTTTTTACGATAGTTTCGATATTTTAGCTTTTTTATTTAAGGAATAATAAGACGCAAGATACGACCTCCAGGCGTAGTGTTTAATGCTCCAATGAAAAATTTTCAACTCAATCGAACATAGCATTTCGGACAAACGAACTCTAAAATGAGGGTCTTTTTTCGTTATTGTGATTATAGTGTCTCATTAAAAGATAGCATCTAGGAGCTTTGTGTCTCGGACAAACTTTGCTCGATTTGTCAAGATTTATTCACGCAAAAAACTTCACATAGTTCTGATGAGGCGTTTTCCGGAAACCTGAGGAAGCGCAGAGGTACCCTAGTATTCAAAGTTCTAAAAAATAATTTTTACTCGTGCGTCATTGATGAATGATCCTATGATGCAGTCAAATTTTCTTTTTTATAAATATGTTATAAAATCAATATCATTCTAGATTGAAGGAGCACATACAAATGAACAATGATCCACGTATTCGTCAATTACTTATTGAAAATTTAATGAAATCAGGTAGTAATGAAGAAATGCTTCAACAAGTTCGCAATTATCCGTATGTATTTTTATTCGTTTAATTTTTTCTAATGGTAATCTTTCTATTTGTTTCTATATAAAAGAGCAACACATTTTGAACGACTTGAACGTGAAATGAATGATGATTCAAGTTTTGATGGCGGTCGATTTGATACAGGAGCAATGGGAGATCTAGATCCAATGGTAAGTTAATTTATTTTAATAAAACAAAAATGAAAATCTTTTCTGACATTTATTTTAGTGTGATGATGTTATAGGCGAAAACTTTAGTGATGAAGATCTGTAGTGAACACTTTTTCTTGTCAAAAAATATATATCTCTTAATTGTATATTAGACTTATTAATGTAATAAAAAAAACACAAATGTGATAGATATGCGCAGGAGCACTTGAAAAATAAATATAATAAGTTCAAAATATTATTGTCATAAACGTCAATGAGTCTATCATTTGTTTTCAGTATTTTCATCGAAAAGCCATAAAAAATAAAGGAAAAATAACGCAAATAATTTTCTTTCGTTTTCTTTTTGTCCTCTTTACCTTTTAAGATATTTATCTCGTTTATTGTTACTTATCTACATGATAATGTATTGTGTTTGCTGCTTCTTCATTCCTTCATAGTTGATCCGTTTTTTTATTTATAATATAACATGGAGTGTAATAATAACGATCATCATCAACTTTCAAACCCTTATGCTATCGAACTAAATAATGTTACCATTCGCTTAAGTAACAAAGATATTTTAAAATCAATTACTCTTGCTATTGAGCAAGGTGGAATGTAAGATATTTTATCTTCCTTTTTGTTGTCATATGCTTATTTTAAATTGATATAGTTTTGCTTTACTTGGACCGAGCGGTTGTGGAAAAACAACTCTAATACGTACGTTGGTTGGTCGTTTACATCCTATTAATAATCATGATGGAACACGAGGAAAAATATCGATTCTTGGTAAAGATCCTCATGCATACGGTCAACTTGTTGGATTTATGCCTCAAGAAATGGCATTACATTTCGCAAATACGATTGATGAGGAACTTTATTTCTATGGTCGTTTAGCAAATATGCATAGTGAAAAGATTCAACAACGATGTCAATTTTTAATGAATCTTCTTGAATTATCACATAAACGAAAATTAATTTTTAAATTAAGTGGTGGACAACAGAGGCGTGTTTCATTTGCAATAGCTCTTTTACACGAACCGAGGTTACTTATTTTAGGTATTATTGTGTGTATAGGTGTTTCTTTCAAGTATATTCAATAAACAATAGAACATCCTAATATTTAGATGAACCAACTGTTGGTGTTGATCCACTTTTAAGGAGAAAGTAAGGTATAGTCATGTTAAAATAAAACATACATATTCAATGTAGAATTTGGCAACATCTCACAGAGATCACGATGAAAAATGATGTAACTGCTATTCTAACAACACACTATATTGAAGAAGCACGACAGGCTAACCTAGTAAACATAAATATTAATATATATATATATATATTGTGAGCTGTTATATCTATATTAGGTATCTTTTATGCGGCATGGTCAACTTTTAGAAACAGGTCATCCTAATGAGTTATTATTGAAACATGAACAACAAGTTGTGTAATTAATTCCTATCATATTTAATACAAAGAAATTTTATTCTAGAGTCTTGAAGGTGTCTTTCTTGAACTATGTGAACGACGTCAGATGTTAGACATCCAATTTCAAGGAAAAGAAAAACTCCATCATCATAAATCTTTAACAATTGCAAATAAAGTAGTTCAAGTTCAAATGATTTGAAATAATAAATCATTAATATTTTTCAGATTTGTTATTCTTGTCAATCAGTCAAACGCCCATGCTGTAGTAAGTATTATAAATTTCATTTCTGAATTGAATTATGTTTGTGTATTAGAGAAAAATTCATGCTGTCTTGCACTTCGTTCTTGTTCACGCCCATCTACTGGTCGCTCTCTTTATGCACTTCTTATAAAAGATATTATTAAATTTCAACGAAATCCATTGTATCTATAAATATAAAATAATATTCTAAATAATAATAATAATTATTATTGTTTTGAATTGTAGTATGCTTATTATTCAATTTCTTGTACCAATCCTACAAATAACTTTATTTTGTTTATGTGTTGGACGAAAATTAACTAATATTCCAATGGGATTTATTTCACGTGAAACTATTCGATCGAGTTCTACAAGTGGATTAATATTTGATAAAATTGATAAAAATGTTCTTAATCTAGTAAACTAAATTCATTAAAGAAAAACATTTTCGATTATTAGTTATTTTTTTAAAATTTCTATACAGATTGAATATAAATCAATAAATGAAGCTCAACATTTATTTCATTTGGGATATTTATTTGGAATTATTGATATTGGTGAAAATTTTACTCGAGAAATTTTTGATAAAGTACAGTCTTGGTAAGAATAATATTATTTTTGTCTATAGAAATATATAAATATATATATATGTGTTATTTATAGTTCATTTTCTGACGTACATAAATATAATGATTCTCAAATGATAATCTATTTAGATGAAACAAGTAGAAGATTTTGTTTTTCATAGAATAATATTATTAAGATTAATTATTAGATCGACAAATGGTTTATACAATTGCTGAAGAATTTATTCGAGTTTTTAAAATTATTGATATAGATTTTAATCTGGGACTTTTTGCGTCTACTTCATCAAATCACTCATTATTTAAAGTATAATAATAGTTTTCTTAAACAAACATATACATATATATATAAATAATTATAAATATATTAGTTAGGGCAATTTCAAAATCATCTACCAAAAATTGAATATACTTTTACACATTTTATGATACCTGGTATTATTCTTTCGTAAGATTTTCTTTTTCTTTTTCATATTTTGGTATATAAATAAATCAAATATTTTTATTAGTGTTATTTTTTTCTTCAATGTTGCTCTTACTGCTCTTTCAATTGTCACTGAACAAAGTGACGGAACACAAGAACGTGTATGGATAACAGGTATATATTTATATGTTCTGTAACTAATTATATTACTTTGTTTTTCTTATTAAGGCGTGAAATCCAATCAAATTATTCTTAGCCAACTGATAATACATTCATTGATACTTATTATTCAAATAGTAATTGTTTTATTTACTTCATTATTCATTTTCGAGGTTAGAATTAATTTTGTTTCATTTTGTAATGAAAAAGTTTTTCTACTAGATTCCATTAAGAGGTAGTTTATTGTATCCATCATTACTTTGTATAATACAAGGCTTTTGTGGCATGACATTTGGTAAGATGAATAACAAAATCTATGACGTGAAAGTCTTGACATAAAATATTCATTCATATTTTAACTACTTAAAGACAGCTGGCCAGAGTCAGAAGCATTTAGTCAGATTCAGGAGTGCAACAAATTCAAACCTTTGCGATTTGGTGTAGAAAGATTTGGGTTTAATTTAGACTTGGATTTGGGCTTGGGCTCAAATTAACCAAGTCCGATGTAACTCTGTGAGATAAAGTACCAAAAGAATGCGAAGAATCGAAAGTCTTCAAAATTAATAAGAAACGATTTGGATTTGGTTTTATTCTACCATAAATCAAAACTTCAAGTCATGTTAGATTGAAACCAAATTCCAAATCCAACTCTTAGATCCAAATCCAAAGCCCCAATTTCAAATCTAAATATAGTTAAAATCCTTAGTGATAAGTTCGAACTGGGGTCAAACGATAGCTGCATTCCAAATTCAAACAAAATTCAAGTCTAGAACCAAATCTAGACAAAATTCCAAATTTCAGAAACTAAATGCAAATTCAAATCCAAATCTCAAAGATTTGGTCCCAAATCCCAAATGTGTACTAGAGATTTGTTGCTTCCTTAGTTAGAATCAGAATATTTTTGACTCTTTCCGAATATACGTTTAGAATTTTATTCTGAGTTAAGATTGAACGACCTGTCATCAAACGATCTCTCATATAACAGATTTTTAAAATTTTGTATTTTTCAAAGCAGCTTTTGCAACAGTGATTTTTTGATCAATGCTGATTTCCATAGAAAGAAACTCTTTAGTGAAAACGTATAGATAAGATTTTACTGATTGTAATATGTAATTTTGTAGAAAATTTAATGTTTATATTGACTTGAAGAAACGACGTAAACTAAGGACTGCGCCAAAACCAATATTATGCTTTATAAAAGCACAGTTTTGAACTTTTGACAAAATTTAACTAATAGTTGTTCACCTCTATCCCACATGAAAAATCTGAACATATATTCGAAAGTAGTCAAAAATTGTAATTCCAGCTCAAACAGCTGTCTCTTAATGTCCGAAAGATGATCAAATGTTTTATGCCAAGACGTTCTCATTCTAGGTTATATTAACTTGTATTAATTCAATGTACATATTTTAAAGGATTAGTTATTTCAACAATTTTTACAACAGAAATCAATGCTCATCAAGTTACAATGTCTATTTTCTATCCCGTATTACTTCTAAGCGGTAATAATTAACATTGAGATCGCAACGAAAAAAAAAACAAATAAATCATTACTTATTTTAGGTATTGTATGGCCACTTGAAGGGCAACCGATATGGATGCGAACAATATCAGCATGGTTGCCGATGACAAAAGCAATCGATGCTATGCGGGGTACACTTTTAAAAGGTAAGATGGTGTTGATATATTTATGAATGATTTCACATTTTTGTGTCTAGGATGGTGTATTCAACATTTAGTTGTACAACAGGCGTTCATGGTTTCATTTCTTTGGTCTATGGTCTTTCTTATCTTAACACTTCTTGTTTTTAATTGTCGTCGTTTATAATATATACGAAATTTAATTTGGTTTTGAAATTTTTATTTTATTTTAAGATAAATAGAAAACAAACTAACACGAATTTATTTATATAGTTTTATTTAAACTTTATTACTAAAATGAGTAGTATTTGGACTTTAACAAACACGAAATTTTTTTTGTAATCACCGTATTCAGAATGTTTTAAAACTTTTTATTTAAAAACAGATGACAAAGATATTTTATTCAGAATTTCGAAAATGTTCTTTTACTAATATAAGTTTTCAATAAAAGTATTCTTTTATTTTATTTTATTATATGATAGACTTATCGAGTTCATAATCGTTGACAAAAAAAAAAGAAATTTAACTTCAGTAAATATAATAACTATATCGATATTGTATTGAAGCAATCATTTTTATAGTAAGCATGCTCTTCACCAAAAAGTTAGATCACTGCAATTCAAGTATTTGCATTTCGACGATGTGACTATCACTGATTTATTTTCAGTAATGAAGTACACAACCGAACCTTTATATATGAATAGAATTTTAAAAAGTTATCGATTAATTCAATCTCAATGATAATTATATCGTGCAATCATTCAGCAATAAAGGTAAACGATTATCTTGAAAGAATTTATTTTCAATAAAATTTTCATAATCAGTAACATCTAAATTTCTACAGAAACTAATTAACAATTCTTTTTAGTTCTAAGCTCATTATTTAATCAGCATAAAATAATATATTCACATAATCAAATGGATAAATTGATTTTCTTGTTTTGATATATTTCAGTGTATTATTTGAAAAATAAACCGTGCTATTAAATAATTACGATTTATCGTCATTACGGTCCTTTTTTATTTCAATTAATGTATCAGCTGTCCAATCATATGTACCAAGATCTCGTTCTTTTACAGCTGTTTTCCATCCTAAATTCTCTGATCGACGTTTAAATGCAAGTCCTTCTGGAGAATGACGCGCAATACCATCGAATATTGTAGCAAACATTTGTGTTGTTCTTAAACCCATATTTTCTAATGTTTGATTAATCATTAATTTTTGCATAACAAGTTGATTGATTGGTACTGTAGCCATGCGTTGAGCTAGTTTTTCAACTTCAGTATTTAATTGTTCTTTTGGAACAGATTTTAATACAAGTCCAAGTTTTTCAGCTTCAATTCCAGTAATTTTATCACCAGTTAATAACATTCTTTTAGCTTTTTCTATACCAAGTCTAAAATATGATTTTCAATTATACTTGAAAAAATATTATTATTATTATTATTATTATTATTATTATTTACTTATAAACCCACATAGCTGTTGTTGGACAACCCCAAACTCTAGCTGGCATGTAACCAATACGTGCTTCATTAGCCATTAGAATAATATCACAACATAAAGCAATGTCACTACCACCAGCTAATGCATCACCATGTATTTTACAAAGTGTAGGTTTAAGTGAATAAAATAGAGACATAAAATAGTCTGTATTTCTTTTCATAAATTTATAATCTTTCATTGGATCCCATGGCATGTCTTGCATAGCCGGAGTAGTATCTTTATTTTGTGCATAATAAGTTAAATCATATCCTGAACAAAATGCTTTACCAGTACCAGATAATATAATGACATGCACCGATGGATCATCATTTGCTTTTTCTACACATTCCAATAATTCTTTAGGCATTACATCATTAATTGAATTTAAAACTTCTGGTCGATTTAAAGTAATATAAGCTAATCGATTTTTAATTTCATAATTAATTGTTGAATATGTTTTATATTGATATTGATTTATATTTGATTGTGTAGAAATAGTTAATAATAATCGAGATAAATACTGAGATGTAATTAATGTTATATTACTTTTATTAGATAATTTTGCATAAAATGATAATTTAGTTAAAAATATAGACATTATTCAATAATAAGGAAAAGTAAACGATTTACTTTTTACAATGAAAACTCAAAAATCTAAAATATTCATCTATTAAATGATTTTTTTATATAATACTTTTTTCATAAATTATGATACGTCAAAATTTTTAATATAATGATGAATCTTAAATAGTAGTCAATATTTTTCCTATAATTTTTATTCTATTTCGATGACAATATGGGTTATTTACTTGATGAAAAAGATTATCCTATTCTTGTCCATAGCGTTTTCATTTGTCCGAATCTTTTATTACGCAAAATATTCGAATTATTCTTTCATTGTCTTTCAATGATAATATCATTCAAGCAGTTATATCTGATCAACAATAGTCAAATACCTTCCGCTGAATGATCGACTTGTTATTTTTCATAGTCAGCAAACTATTAAAAAAAGTGTAAATCAATCTTGATATTATTTACTAAACCTAGTGGCTATCATATCTGTTTTATTTAAAGAAGTTGACCATTCTAAAGCACAGTAGTGATATGATATTTCATGGACAAACCAATTATAAAAGAGAATAATAAAGTAAAAAAGATGATGTACCTGTACACCAACGACATAACAAATAGTTATAAAAATACAAAAAAATTAAAATGAATATAACATGAAGATATAAGTATTTCTTAATTATATGAGTTAATTAGTTCCAATTATCTTCAATTTAAGAAAAACAAATACAATATAAGATAGTATTTTCTATTCTATCATATCATTTGACAAATTGCTAGATAGACAAAGTTTACCTGATGGACAATGATGATCGTGTCAAGTAGCTTTCTGATTTGCAGCTTGGAAAGAACTCGTTAAAAAAAACATTCAACTTTATACTTACAATAGTGAATAAAAGTCTCTACCCCATCATGTTTCAGCTAGTATGCATGTTGGAGATTCAAAAATATGTATCTACAGACTAGACTAGACCACAGGCCAACAGTGTAATTTAGGTTAGACCGAAAAAAATGTGGCCTGTTGTGGCAATTCTCATAGAAATGTTCTTTATTCTGAAAATTGAAAAATCAAAACGAATTAAGTTCAACAAGATGCGATAGACAACGTAAAATAGAAGCCATGTAAGCACAGAATTGATTTCAATCTGATTATATATATATTATAAATAACAATATCATATAATATATTTGTCAAATAAGAATATAACATATACAAAAAAATATTCAAATAATGACTTTAACATAATTCAAAATTTTCTGTTGTTTCTAATTGATTTTTATCGATTGTTTCAAAATTATTTTCTTCGGTTGTTTTTAAATTAAAATCATCACTTGTTTTTGTCGTTGCATTACATGAAAGTGAATGAGAACGACTGAATAAAATTGAATTCGATCCAGTATTCGACATAGGTAGATTTAATTTAGCACATACATCACTACATACATGTGTACGAAAAAATTGACGCATACCTTTTATACTAAGATTAGTTCGTGTTTCTCGAAAACGTAACAGATCATTGCAATGTAATGCTGGATCAGTCAATAAATAAGCACGATCTACTTTAACACCTTGTAAATCGACCACCATAAGACGACCCGAAGTAATATGATATGTCCAATGAGAAAACGCTTGTAAGATTGTTGAATATTCACTTAAAGATACTCCACCACTATTATTATTCCATTTACGCCATTCTTGATGCATACGTCGTTCAACTTGATAGATTTTCAATGGATCTGTTTTTTGTTGAACAAGATCAGCATCGGCATATAGAATTGGAATAAAATTTCGAAAAAGATATTGTTGTTCAGCATTAAATTGTTCGGCTAAGAATTGAGCTATAGCTTGCATTTCAAGATGTTCTTGATAGACAATAAATGTATTCGATTTTGGATCTGCACTAGCAAGTTCTTTAAAAACAACATCTACGAAAGGTGAATCATCACTACAATATTGACCATAGAAAGCAAAACGAAGTGATCCTTTAGCAAAAGGATACGGTGCAATTTTTATTTGACCATTAGTTTTACTCATAGATAAAGGATGAAAAAGATCATCGATTTTAGTGGGTGGAATAATTTCAGTTACGTTAACATCATATGTTTCTAAAGAATTCCAATCTGGTTCTTTACTAAAAAGTGTATAAGATTTTATTTGTTTATTTGAATTACGATAAAATGATATTGTTGATTCAATATTACTTTGAATAATAGAACTTGTTTTGTCAATGATATGTCGAATTAAACATCTAGGATCACTTACATGAATTTCAGATATTGATCCAAATACAAAAGTAAATTCTTCAAACATTTTGTTTGTAGTTCCATTTAATGGAATTTTACAATATGTTATACCTAATCGTTTGATATTAAACATTAATTTTGATAATTCTCGATTCTTTGGATCACCATATACATAATTATCGTTCGCTGTTCCTTGAAATTCATGATACTCTTGTCCATGACACGGTGCATCACAAATATGAACTAATAAACGATTTGGATTCGACCAAGAGAGTTGAGCAACAGTTTCTAATCCACCTAGTTATACAAAAAAAAAATAATATATTAAACTATTAGTAGGCACTTATCGTCAAGAGAAAAATATAATTAAATCTTTGATATTTAGCACCGAAACCTGACATATTTCTCTCATACATTCAGTTAGTTTTCTGAAAAAGCTCAAAATTATCTCTGAAACATAGCCTTACATATCTTCAAAACAAATTTTCAGCCCAATCAGACGAGACTTGATGGAGGTTGTATAATGCACTAGATGTGATCCTACGGAAAGTCAGGGTTTCTTCGTGAAATCGTCTTTAAAATCTGTTTTCTCAAACATGCGTCTACTTATTTTAGACGTAACCTTTAAATTATTTTGAATTAAAAAATGACGTATTCTATGTATCTCGTGTCAAAATCAAATTCGAAGGCCATTGGTTTATTCTTCACTATTTCGTTTTCTTTTAATACGATCGAAATACTTTTGAAACGATTTCCATCGTTCAATACCAAGAACAGAAATATAAGCTAGTAGAAAAAAAAAACATGTTTCAGAACAATCAGTAACTAGAATACTGCGTTAAAGAACTATAGCTTCTTTTTTTCTTTTTCCATGAAAATATGAATAA